CCGCGTCCTCGCGTCAGGCACTGTCGTCCGAAGATTCCACTGGACGCTAATTAATAATTGCTTCTCTCGTGATCTGCTTATTTGCTGACTTTATTATCCAATGAAGTAATTAGCCGTTAAATCAAATGCCTCGTGAGTTAATTGCCTGTTGACCTAAATTCGCGCCTAATTAGTCATCTCTTGAAGTGAATAAATGAGGATAACACGAAGAAGACGACAAGAAGAAGAAAGAAAGAGAGAAGCGATAGAGATGACAATACGGTATTTGGCGAAAAAAACAGTATAATGAGATAATGTGATAAACGTAGAGAGAAGGATAAATACACACTGATAATGGTCATTTTAAAACATAAAAGAATAAAAAAGTGAGTAACGATAACGAGAATAAAAAATTAATGAAGCGCAAGGAGGAAGAGAGGGAGATACATGAAATATTCAGATAAACAGGAAAACATAGAGATGACAAATTAATCTCATGGAATAATATATGAGGCTGAATTCCTCGCCTCCGGAGGCGCGGAGAGGCCGAGGGCGGCGGAGGCTGCGGCGCCCGCGCCCTCACGCCCGCGCTGGCCCTCGCTCTCGGTTTGGGTTTGGGTTCTGTATATATATATATATATAATATATATTATATATATATATATATATATATATATATATATATATATATATATATATATATATATTATATATATACATACATATATATACATAAACACACACAAAAAAGAAAAAAAATATATGTGTGTGCGTATGTGTGCATATGTGTGTGTGTGCGTATGCGTGCGTGCGCGTGTGCATGTTAATTTGTTTGAGTTTCTGCGCGCGCGCGTGCGTACTAAAAAAAAAGATAAAGAGTAACAACGAAAAGAAACCCCCACACAAAGCCACAGATAAAATCCCAATAAAAAGAATGAAAGATAAGGAGGGACCAAAACGCCGCACCGCCTCGGGAAGGATTTGTCTTTGTTATCTAACAGCGCTGGCCGAGGACAGCCGCAGGGGGGGGGGGCAAGGGGAAGGGGGGTAGAAGAGAGGTAATAGAGAGGAGGAAGGAGGAGGAGAAGGGGGAGGGGAGGGGGGGAGGAGGAGAAGGGGAGGGAAGGGGGGGAGGAGGAGAAGGAGGGGGCGGAGAGGGAAGTGGGGAGGGGGGGTCACCTGTGGTCCACAGTGACAGGAAGAAATATTGTTGGACCGCGATACTCTGTGTAAAACTGCCTGTATACTATGTGGATAATTACGAACATTCACACATACATACGTACATCCGTACACATACTGGCAGCATACATTTCTATGTCTTTACACACACACACACACACACACACACACAAACAACAAAACACACACACACGCACACACACACGCACACATACACACAACACACACATACACACATATGTATATAGATAGATAGATTAAGAGATAGGTAAATAGATAAAGAGATAGATAAATGGATAGATAGATAAAGAAGAGAGAAAGACATAGAAAGGGTGAGAGAGAAGGGTGAGTTCAGATCTTGAAATGAAAATAAAAAGATATATAGAATAATCGCAAAATTGAAATGAAGAAACAAAAGCGAACTAAATCGCCATTATGAACAGCATGCTTCATATTTCCTCTGTTTCTTCCCTTCCTGTTCTCCTCCACCTTCACCAACTCTCTTCGTCACTTCCTCTCAGTATCTCCCCCTCTCTCCTTCTTTCCCTCTCCGTCTCTTCATTTTTTTCTCTCTCCTTTCCCTTTCGCTTTCTCTCACTCTCTCTCTCTCTCTCTTTCTGTCTGCCTGTCTGTCTCTTTCTCTTCTCTTTCTCTCTCTCCTTCTCTTTTCTTCCCCCTCTCTCTCCCCTCTCCTTCTCTCTCTCTCTCTCTCTCTTCTCTCTCTCTCTCTCTCTCTCTCTCTCTCTCACTCACTCTCACTCTCTGCTCCTTCCCTCCCCTTCGCTCTCCATCTCTTTAATTTCTCTCCGCTCAGGACCAGCAAGTTACAAACTAAAATTCCCGGCAGAGTCGAAGCAGCGCTTCTCCGGTTGGCAGAAGGGGGGGGGGGGTTAAGAAGCCAGGGAGAGGAGGGAGGGGAGGGAAGAGGCTGAGGGAGGAAGAGGGTTGAAGACAAGGGAGAAGAGAGGGGAAGAGAGGAAGAGGTAGGCCGGGGAGGGAAGAGAAAGAGGGCAGAAGGGCAGAGGGCAAGGAGGACAGGGTTTGGAGGGAAGGGAGAGAGGTCAGGGAGGCAAGGGAGTAGGGTATCGGTGTTTAGGGCGTGGGTAGGCGGGGTCAGAGGCGAGGGGGAGCGGTGCCGAGTGGGAGAGGGGGCGGGATGGGGGGAGGGAAACTCATTAATGGGGCTATGAGGAGGGTTAATGAGGACGATGTTGAGGATTATTATGGCGGCGGTGGAGAGGAGTGTCGAAGGCAGGAAAGAAAGATAGGAAATGCTTCTTCCGAATCTTCTAATCGTCTTGTGTTACTCCTCTCTCTTCTCATTTCTATTCCTCCTTCACTCCTTCCTCCTCTTAAAAATATTTCTCTTTCTCTCTCCCCTTTCTTCCTCTTCGTACTCGTTATCTTCCCCCTCCTCTTTTTCCTCTATTCTAACCGCTCATTTTCCTCCTCCTCCTCATTCTACATTTCCCTCTCTCTTCGTGATGAAAATGCAGGACCCCCTTCCTCCCCCCTCCCCCCCCCCTCCCCCGACCGCCAAACGCACGAGAGAAATTTCCTATGTTAATGGAAAAAGGATTCACACAAGTGGACAAAAAAAAGGACACTTAGCGCCAATGAGAGGGAAGCTAATTTGACCTCTCCCTCCTAAGTTAATAAAGGTGATATTAGCAACTTGATGAATTCCCTTTTCCTCCCTCTCTCCCTTTCCTTTTTTTGTGAAAAGTTTTATCGTAAAAGCATCGGTATTTTTCCCTCGTGTAACTTCTAATATGCAACTTTTTCCCCATAAGAGAGAGAGAAAAAATAGTGATTGAAAGTTGGAAATTCACCGGACGAATCCATTGCATGATTTGCCTAAATTATTCACTCTTATATATAATGTTCGCTAAAACACGGTTGGATTTAACTCTGCGCCCAAGTGTAAATGCATGTACATATGTATAACCTCATTTACATAGGTAGACGCCAGCATAAATGTATATAATGGCACGCACACACAACATCACACACAACACACACACACATACACATACACACACACACACACACACGCACGTGCAGGTGATGGAATCTGGCCACATACCTACACACAGTTACGATTTCGAACATAAGTACAATTACTCAAACATAACTTACATACGCGAATGTGAAGACGAAGATGAACACAGTGCGGAAACAAGGACATAGAGACACAAACATTTAAGGATACTATGGAAGAGACAAACACACACACACACACACACACACACACACACACACACACACACACACACAGAGAGAGAGAGAGAGAGCGAGAGAGAGAGAGAAGAGAGAGAGAGAGAGAGAGAGAGAGAGAGAGAGAGAGAGCGAGAGAGAGAGAGAGAGAGAGAGAGAGAGAGAGAGAGAGAGAGAGAGAGAGAGAGAGAGAGAGAGAGAGAGAGAGAGAGAGAAGATTGGAAATAGAAAGATAATAAGATACATAGGTAAATAGAGACAACAAATAAACAAACAGAACGACAAGGAATTAAAAAATAATGGTTTGGAAAAACAAGAATAAGTAAGGCTGAGAACACCTCCCCCCCCTCCACAATGACCGGGGGGGGAGGGGGTCTCAAGACAGCCGCACAACCTCAGCTCAAAGTTATCCCTGGTTAATCAATCCAGCCTTTCCTAATCTAATGTATGCTGGCCTAGAGCGGCGCTTTCCTTCCCCCTCTCCTTCTTCTTATCCTTTCTCCTTCTTTCCTTTATCCTCTTCCCTTTCTCCCTTTCCTTCCGCGCTATCTTCATCTCTCGTCTTTCATTTTCATTCCTCTCCTTCTTCTTATCCCTCTCCCCTCCTTTCTCCTTCTTTCCTTTATCCTCTTTCCTTCCTCGCTATCTTCATCTCTCGTCTTTCATTTTCATTCCTCTCCTTCTTCTTATCCCTCTCCCCTCCTTTCTCCTTCTTTCCTTTATCCTCTTCCCTTTCTCCTCTTTCCTTCCTCGCTATCTTCATCTCTCGTCTTTTATTTTCATTCCTCTCCTTCTTCTTATCCCTCTTCCCTTCTTTCCCCTTCTTTCCTTTCTCCTCTTTTCCTTCCTGGCATCTTATCTCTCGTCTTTCATTTTCATTCCTCTCCTTCTTATCTTCCCCCTTTCTCCCTTCTCCACCTCTTCCCTTTCTCCTTCTTTCTTCCTCGCTATCTTCATCTCCTCTTCCTCTTTCCCTTCCTTTTCTCTCCTCCATTTCACACTGTCCTTACATCATTCCTATCCTCTCATCCTCTCTATTTTTCCCTTACGTGCTTCCTATTCCCCCATCACTCCTTACTACTTATCCACCTTTTTCCTTCCATATCCCTTCCTTCCTCCTAATCTCTCCCTCCCCTTTATTCCTTTCTTACTCCTCCCCATCCTCCGTTTTAGCTCTTCCTCCCCTCTTATCTCTCCCTTCCTCCCTCCTCTCATAAATTAATACTCATATTAACTACTCTTTTCCCTCTTTCCTCCCCGTCTTCCCACACCTCATACTCTTTTCTTCCCTCCCTCCTCTCCCCCTTCTTCCCATCTCCCTCCTCCTCCTCCTCCTCCTCTCCTTCAGTCCCCTCCTCCTCCTCCAGCCTCCCCACCCCCTCCCTATCTCCTCCTCGACCCCCTCCCCCCTCCCCTCCCACGCCACCTTCGAGTAATTAAGGTGTTCTGGAGGTATGCGACGCTCCCCGGCCCGTCCTAACTAAGTGGAGATCATTTTGATATAGTTTCAAAGGGCGATTGCAAGGAGAGTCGTTTTGATTTGGCTCATGTTGGTAATAAATTCAGAAGGTGATTTGAATCGATTCTGGTTTATTTTTAGGTTGGTTTAGTTCACTGGGAGTTCACTTCAGTGGGGATTGAGTCAGCTGGGATTGGCTTTGGTTGGTTTAGCTCGCTGCAAAGTCATTACGGGGATGATGGAGTCAGGTGCGGCTGATCTGAGTTGGTTTAGTTCCTTATGTATTCATTTCAGTGGATAATTGAGTCAATTGTGGTTGACTTTGGCTGTGGTTGAGTGGAAGTGACAGTTGATTGTGGCTGAATGCAGGGGATTGTGGTCGATTGAAAGGGATTGATTGTAGGTGACTCTGGTGCTGCAATTGATTGTGATCCGTTGCACTTGACTTTGATCACAATGAATGGTCATTGATTGTGTGACTGTGATTTGCCACAGGGGATTGTGGTTGATTACAGGTGTTAGCAGTTGCGGTTAATGACTAATTGATTGTGGCTAATTGTAGTTCAGTGCGATTAAGTGGAGGTCGTGACTGAACGGAGATGATCGTGCTTCTTGGCGAATACTTTTGATTGGAAAGTGATCACAGCTGCTTATCAGTGGTTCAGTTTTTCTTTTTGTAATGTGTCTCGGTCATACAATGGAATGATTCGGGTGATTGTGAGACGCGTGGCGAGGAAACTCATTTTAAATACCAATGGTGGATATGGTGTTCACTGGTCGGGAAGTGATAGTAATTATCACGATTATTCTGATAATTACATTTGTTATGCCTGTGGTAATTATTGGGTGGAAAATCATGATTTTGCGTAATGACAATTCGGATTTTAATGATTATGATTATTGTAATTATGGGGCGTAGTCAGATTATATAAACATATTGATGGTATTTGATTATACAAATAAACAGATGAATTCTCATCATGATTACAATTATTGCAGAAATGATCATTTGGAATAATAAACATAATATCAAATGATAACAAATAGGATTGTTTCACATTGACGATATTGAGATAGCAACGATATAAGAATAAAGAAGAAAAGAAAAAAAAAAAAAATATATATATATATATATATATATATATATATATATCAGGGAAATATATAAAGTCTAATCATCATATATAAAAAAACATAACAAATCGGTAAGGCAACAGAAGAACCGTGAAAAAGAACGGTACTAAAAACAAACAAATAATAAAAGAGATAGATAGAGAATAGACGCAATAATATTAATGTTTATACTATAACACACACTATGTATTTACCACTCGTTTAAAGAACAGTGGCATAGCAAACAACAGCAAACAATAGCAACATGAGCAACCGCAATAATAATGATGTCAAGAGCCACGCACCACAGCCTCCCTTCCAGGATGAATTCGTCCAACTGACTCCCCGTAATTACCTGTTTACGGCAAAGGAAACGACCGCCATGGCCCGGATGGCATGACTCGCCCATTGGCTGTCCATGGAGCCCAAGGACGCGTCTGATTGGCTGTTCAAATGACGTGAAAGTTGCTGATTGGCTCTTTCAAAATGGTGAGACGCGCGTGATTGGTTGGCTAGGAAGGCTAGGCGTTGATGATTGGCTGTTTTTGGATAGCTAGAGATCGGATGTTTATGCTAATGCTGGCAACGGCAATGTTGGTGATGGTAATTATGACGGAAAATATCATCATACTGACAATATTTTTTTTTTTTTTTATTTGATAATTAGGATCTGTTTCAAGGTAAACATACAATCAAGGTAACCTTATCTAACATATTAATTAATGTATTCCGAGTCACTTCATTATATCTCCCCTTCGTGGTTACCCTTTCCACTCCCCCCTCCTACCCCCCTCCACCCTCTCCCCCCTCTCCTCTCTCCTCTGTTAAATCGATTTGGTTTTAGTTAAATGAGTTACAGATATGGGAGAGGGGAAGTAAAGAGGACAAAAAATAAGTTGGATAAAGTAGGAATAAGGGGAAAAGAGAGAAGGAGAGGATAGAAGAGGAGAAGGGATTATGGAGACTTAATATTTGAGGTTTCAGCTGTTTCCTCTTTCTCCGTGAGTCTCTCTTGCTCTCTCTGCCTCTCTCTCTCACTCTCGATCTTGCGTACTTCCCTCTCTCTCTCTCTCTCTCTCCTCGCCTCCCCAATTTTCGCCCTCATTACTCTCCCCTCACTCGCCCTTCTCCCCTCTCTCTTTCCCTAAAGAAGTGGTTCTTTACCCCATTCTCTTACCTCCTTACCCCTCCTCCCTCCCAGTCCTCTCCCTTTCCCTCCCTCATGCCTCCCCACTCTCCGTCACCTTCTTCCATCCCCACCCTCCTGCACCCTCATCCCTCCCCCCATCCTCCTTACTCCTTTTCCCTCCCCACCTCCTTTCACCCCTCATCCCTCCCCCCACCCCTCCTGCACCCTCTCCCCTCCCCACCACCCCTCCCCCTGCACCCTCCCCTCCCCCCCCCCCCTCACCCCTCTTCCCTCCCCCACCTCTTCACCCCCTCCCCCTCCCCCATCCTTCCTTCACCCCTCATCCCTCCCCCCATCCCTCCTTCACCCCTCTCCCTCCCCCACCCCTCCTATACTCCTCTTCCCTCCCCCACCCTTCAAC